GAACTGCATACACTGCACGCACTGTTCATTCAATTAATATCTTTCCGCTCCCTTCCGTTCCCCTATCCTCAGTCACCAAACCCCGCCATATGTATACATAATCTGAAGTCTCGGCTTTTTCATTGCTGCGCACTTCACTGTCAGTTCCTCCAACGATAATACAGCAGTACTGGCACTCTTCCAATGCAGTTATTCCTTCCTTAACCATACCATTGTCGTCGTCAGGCATCAAACATAGATCAACGATGCTGATGAACGTCAATGACCTGTTTGCAGTGGCCAACTAAATCGAGATTACATCAGCAACACCTCCACTAGCACACTGTGTCTATCGATTCAAAGTTTGTTATATACATCTGTTCATCTAACTTCCAACGTATTCATTTTTTTGCACTTTTAAGATTAATACTGTGTATGTGCCTGCATTAATACAGCTGTCTTTCATGATCACAGGGGAAAAAAGTAAAAATAATAATAATTTATAATAGTTATAATAATAATAATAATAACAGTAATTAATAATAATAATAAATAATAATAAATAATAATAATAGTAATAATAATAATAATAATAAATAATAATAATAATAATAAAAATAATAATAATAATAATAATAATAATAATAATAATAAATAATAATAATAATAATAATAATAATAATAATAATAATAAGACAATAATAATAAATTAATTTTGAGATTTTTCGGAATCAGCCACTATCATTATTTTGTGTACAAAATGACGAAGGAATTTTGTCTTCCGATGAGTGATACAAATTTGTTTTCAGCTTATTGGGTATATTATTACGAAAAAAATGGAAAAAGAATTCTTTAAAGAAAAAAAACGAAAAACTCGGCATAATTATATATATTTTTATTTTTCACACCAAATTGGAGATGAACGCGCCTATATATTAGATAAATATTTGTTAACTATCTGAATTAATACTGCTCAGTTTATTTTTTGAAAAATTTGCTGTTAACTATGAGTTGTTTAAAATTTTGAGTAGAGAAGTCTTTTCTTGTTTTATATAAAAAATGGCCGTTGAGGAACGGAAGTCGTCATTTTGATTACACACACTAAGTAATATGCTCGAAAATGCAATGCGCGAAAAAATTAGTGCAGAAAAAAAAAGGAAGGAGTTTGTGCATGGTCTATACGTGAGCTAAAATGGAATTTTCAGCTCTGTATTCAGATCTCAAAAACAGTTATTGAAAAATTGTATGAATTTAAAATTCCACAAATTCCACTGTCAAGTAGCATATATATTTGCATAGAAATGGCTTGTAAGCTGAAAGAAAAAGCGGCTTTGATATGACAGTTCACTGACAACTAAAACGGGTTAACAACAAAAAACCTCAAAAAGTATCAGACAGCTTTTTTTCTTCACAGCTAATAGATGAGGACGTTCGCTGATCGCTGTTTGACCTAAACCCTAAGTTGTTCTCATCCTTTTTGGTTACCTGGTTTCCACGAATGTTGCCTGTGAAGCAGCAGCGCTAGCTTGGTGTGCAAGCGACACTAGCGTTCGACCTATCAAGGCTAATAACCACCGTCAAGGCGTACTTGCTATCAGCGGGTGCTCCTTCGTCTTCGAGAACCGCTCTTGGTCCGGTTTTAAACTAGTTTAGCAACTTGTTCAAGTATCCAGGCAAGTAGAATAATGCGTGTACACTACAGCAATTTAACACTCTTCAATTCCACATTTCTAAAAGCATTTCCATACAGTACGCCGTATGGGCAGTTTCAGTGTCTTAATAGATCGACTCCGCCAAAACGAATTTGTATCTGTCGTCGATCATATCTTTTGATAGCGGAAAATTAAGTTCTACACTGTACGCATTGTCCTCCTGCTAATCGTCCTTCAAAGCAAATCCCATTAATTCGCTCCTTTTTCTCGTCCTTAAAACAGCTGAATAACGCCCCAGTATCAATTACTTAGATTACAGGAGAATAAAAATGCTAATCCGATGGGGGAAAGAGAAGAACTAATCTTCCATACATCTACTTCCAAAAGCTTTAATTGCTGAACGATGTTCAGCAGTATGTTTTTTAAATAGTCTTTGAACTTCTAATAGTTTAAAACTGGAATTAAAATCCATATAAAGAATCCTGTCCCTTCCGCCTACCAGAAAAAAAAAAAAAAAAAGAGAAAGTAATTGGGACAAGTCCTCATCATTATCCAACTCTAACAGTGTTCTTTACAAGCATGAATTAACCTTAAAAGAGATCAAAATCTGAAACTTTCATGAGTCTATTCTTTTTCAAGCAGTTCCAACTTGATCCATTCTCGTCTGAAACCCTTCACAAATTTACTTATAATTGGATAAAATACAACGAACTGCACCAGCTGAAGCACTGTATATCAATTAAACTGTGCATAAACTTCCGTCGTAAGAGGATGGCTGTAGATTTTTCAATTTTCAAATTCTCCCGCAAATATGACGTGAAAGTTCTCAAAGTTCTTTTACTGCACACAAAACCCTAACAAAAAATTTTAGAAGTGCATTTAAATACCGGGAAACATGAACTTCATGAAGCATGATCTCCATGTCTCTCAGAAAATCGTCACCTCCAGTTGCAGGTACTGCACCGATACACCTTATAACTTAGAAGTGCTTTCCAACAAGCACCCAAACTTCACAATTGAAAGGCAACTCTAAATTTCCCTCTAAGAATTAAACTGGAAAACAAAAACTGAATGAACATAAACAAAACAGCGTCCCTGTTATTCCAGCCCAAATCTCACTGGGAAATTGCAAAATTATTTCCAAAAAAACTATTTCCGATAAGATGCCAAATAACAAACTTTGGAGTACTCATATAATAACAAAGTATCCTTAAGAAGCACGAAGATGCAAAAGAACGACTTAACCAACTATGCATTAAATACCCAGATATTTTTTAAATACTGTATATATATATAAACTAACGTTTATTTTTAATCAAAACGGTCAGCCAAAGGCGAAGTCAAATAAGTAGTTAACAATAACAGTGTTCAAGAGCACACTTGAATCATACCTCCATCTACAGCGACTACAACAACCGCAGCAAACTTCATTAGTTCCTTGACACAACAAGTGGTTCAGCTTGCAACACCACTAAAATTTGTTATAACCTTTGCCTTGTCAACTTTTTGCAATTGCTTCATTATAATTCATTTCAACAAGCCCACCAGATACTTAGTCCCCGTTGCCTTCCTTCACCACCTGGCATCTCAAAAAAAGCAAAAAACATCAAAACTTTCACCACAGTTTAGTTATCCAGAAAAAACAATAGCACGGCGGTGCATCAAAAAAGAAATAACACAAATATACAACTGTATGTATTTGAGGTACTCCACAATTCACAACTGTGAATAAAAAACAATGACTCAAAAAAATGGTAATTCTCTACAAGGAAAACTTTTAAACTAAAATGTTGCCGTAAAAGTGATTACTGTAAGCGAATGCAAAGAAATTGGGGAACTTACAAGCATCACAAAATTTATTTGAAAAAACTATGAGAAATTCAAGAAAGTATCGAAAGTATCATGAGTAAAAGCGGTAAGAAGGTAGGATCTCCAGGAGTCAGCAAAAAAAAGTTCAACAAAGTTCGGATTGAGAATTCAACAGTGCATTACTTCCAATTAACGAGAAACAATTGGTGAGGTAAAATTAGCTTAAATCTTCTGCTGTTCTGCCAAAATGTTGCAGAAAAACCTTTGAAGTACTTCCGTTTCTAGATGTCTCCAAGTTGAAAAGTACCAGCATTCAACTTCCCCAATTTTTGAAGGAAACTTAGCCCATTATAACAAAGACATGAAATCAAAATAATCAGTCAAGTGCGACAGCTAGAACCATACAGTGTTCGCCATAACCGATCCCACACAAGAAAACAGCCAAAAAAACCTGTGTAATTATTTTAATTAAAGCAAAAAAAAAAAAAAAAAAAAAAAAAAAAAA